GTGGGTGTGTGGTACTAAAGTTCTGCAGTAAGTTTTGATATTTATTTAATTTACATTAACCAACATTGAATTTTTGTGGGCATATGTGGATAGTACTTACTGGGTTAGACTTTTAAGTTGAAAGAAGAAGGCAGAGAGACATTTTAAGCTTGAGGTTTAACCACTTGTAATTAAAAAACACACACACAAAATTCAACTGAGTACATCGTAAAGATTTTATTAGCTTTATTTAATAGTTTTATTTATTTAATAGAAAACAGCTTTAATAGAAATAATAAATAGATACCTTTAGTTAATAGAAAATAGGGCAGTGGTGGCTTTATTTAACAGTTCATGAATTGGGTAGCATTCCATTTAGCAAATAGAAAGGCACTCTAGGGAGCTGTACAAGAATTTATTGGCACACAGGAGTGGGACAAGGAAAGAACAAATGGTTTGTAGCAAGGTCACCTTCCCTTAGGGGATGGCAGAGGCCAGTTAGGCAGCTTATTTAACTGGCGTTGACCAGGTGATTCTAGATGGATTGGTTGAAGATTATTACATTTCTGGGTTAGGCTGAAACTACAGGTAAATTAGATTTGGTGACACAAGGCTTAACACAAATGACTCCATTTTGGGTCTATTATCTTTTTTAAAGGAATATATGCTATACTGGTTTTCCTTCCCCATTTTCTCTTTACTCTGGAATCTATATTCACTCTCTGTTGCCCACCCCAGGGATAGTGGGCATACTTACCTCTATGTAAATTTCTACTGCATGAGACAAAGAAAGTGGACTGGTGGGAGAAATAAGGCCAAACTCTGATTTGCCCTTTAGTGCACTTAATTCCTTTGGGGGGAGAAGTGCTCTGTAGTCACATCACATTTCTCTTAAGCCTAAAAGGTGTGAATGCAGAGAAATGGAAGAACAAGTTAGAACTCTAATCACATATTTACTCGTATAGTTCGCGCGCACAATCACCAGTGGTTGCCACACAGTTCCATTCAGTGGGTGGAATTTGAGATTTAGGAAGGACACATTATGTTCCAGAACTAGAAAACGGTGGAGCCAGCCTGTGAAAGCTGGTCTTCTAGCCAACCAATCAAAGTCAATTCTGGCAAAAGACCAAGTGAATTCACTGATGGAGCCCATGGTTACAGAGGCCTACTCGGGGTGTTAACACAGTTGCAGGCTCTGGGGCAATGCTCACGCCAAAGCAAGAGCACCCCAATATTCCCACTGGCCAGTGCAGTAGCTGAATGTCTCATCTCTGCTTTCCCCATCACGTCTCCAAGTAACCCTTCCTCCCATTGTGGCTGCAACCTCTATTCTTTCCTCCACATCACTGTTTTTGCATGAGTCAAGTCGGATTCCTGCCTGCCTTTTCCCTCTCCCTCCCTATTAAGCGCCAAAGGGGACAGCAAACTTGTCTGTGTTCTCATCACTGTCTCCCCATCTCATTCAGTGCCCGGCCCATACTCGCAAGCCAGAAAACATTCGTTCACCGACTGGGTATCAGCTCAGGCCTAGCTCTTCTAAGCCAAGCCCCAAGTCCTTGCTACTTTGCAGCAGGCGCGCCAAGCCACGCCCAGGAGAGGGCGCCCCGCCCCTCCGCTGGCCCCG